TTTATCCATCACATTCATACATATTATCAATAGATATATCTAAAAAGGTTTCTATGAAGAACACTCAAAGCAACAATTATAAATTATAATATTATATACTTGAATGGTTACGACTTGTATTAAAACAATACTATTAATAATAATTGGGCATAATTGTCTAACGAAAAATTAATAAAACAATGTAACATGTTGAAATCTATCTCACACAAAGAAGTGATAWAAAAATATTAGAAATTAGAAAAAGTGTATAGCATAACGTTTTGAAATTTCYAATATTATTTTGATTTTGGGTTAAACACGATGAAATRTTAGTAAAAATTTGATAAAAACAAAATATAGTTGTGCTATTCAATATAAATATTAGCTTATATTATTATTTAAATTTAACTGTCTAGTCATCTACATATGCATAGAGATTTAAAAGATTTAAAAATGCATTAGATAAACTTTGTGTATAAAGTACTAACTACTAGGTATTGATAAAATATAAATTCATTCAAGTTTTGTATACCAGTATACCATTTGACTTAAGCCTCACATTAATGATAGTCGAAAGAGTATATAATTATAAACTTGCAACACTTTAATTTACTAGAGTAATTTATTATAGGTAAGAGGTAAGAATAAGCAGAGGTTAAAGTGGGAAAAAATTCCAGAGGAGACTAATGTCTCCATATAGTTTTAAGCGTTCCATATATWATTTTATRTTTAATGTCTAATGTATAAAATCTTAATTTGTTAAAGGGGACGCTCTTTAACCGCTGTCAGAGGTAAGGGGACTGAGTCCTCCTGCGTCCCCCCTCCCCACTTTAACCCCTGGGAATAAGATATATTTGGCTACATAAACTATAACGATATAATATATTATTACAGTATATAAGAACGCACATTTACACAATGCCAGTATGCCACGTACACGTTTATATTGCAATATATATATTATGTCTACCTTAAAAAACGATCCCACGGGTAACAGTCTTCGAATGTTTTGATTTTTTAACATTTTCTGAAAACAGTTAAACGAGACAGGGAAGAACGTGCACACGTCATTCAGCAGAATCGACTGAGTGCACGTCAGCGCGAAACACTTTATAATATATTTTAGATACATAATATATATATAATATATACTGGCAACTTATTTAATAAGGGACGACATCCTAATATAATAATGGTCTTATTTTAATTTTATAGTTACATATACATTAAAAGCAATACAGACCACTGTTTTTACCTCCTTGCAGGCCAAATTGTGTACTAAGGCTGTACCTCGGTCTTGCAGAACCTTGTCTTCGGACAGTAACGAATTCACTGCCACCTTAGTTGTCACGCGTATGTTACTCACCGAACCAGAACCCAACTGCCATTCAGATATGTATAAAAGCCATTCAGAAGTGCTGCTGTTCTCAAACAAATTGCACATCTGAAAATGGTTAGACGATCGCAATGAGTAATTTCAGAAATCTGTGCGATGGTTGCAATATACTGACAAATAAAGTGAGAGCTAGCTGTTCAAGAAGAGGAAGTTTATCGAATCCGTTAGCGTAATTCATRAGTATGTGTTCCCTCCTGTCTTGGTGCAATACTAAAATTATATCGTCTTTAAGTGCGGCAGCAGCCAAAATATTCAATATTGTCTCGCGTACCTCCGAAACCAGCTGACTGTCGTTTAATAGTCTACCTGTAAATCATGTCGTTAGTACAAAAATAATTAATTGTTATAAGTACTAATACATCAAATTTTATTCTCAGTTATAAATTTGAATTTCTTACACACACACAGTGGCGTAGCCATGAATTGTGTAGGGGGGGGGGGCTAAGACGCTAAGTCTCACAAAAAAATACAAAAACAATATTTTTTTTTATTTACACTATTAACTATTTACAATTATATGTATTGGTATACATTTATTTATTGTTGTATTCAATTATTGTTATGGCAGAAAATTAATATTTAATCTTGATAAAATTCTAAGGTCGACACAGTCAATGGGGAGGGCTATAGCCCTCTTAGCCCCCCATAGGCGCAATTTCAGTTTTTAACTTGGAGGGGCTTAACATATTTAAATGAAACAGACCCGTGGGGAACTCTATGGCAATTTCATTTTTTTCTCACYCACTTTCCCACATTTAATATATTATAAATTATAATGCATCTATTAATAAAGCTAAAAATATTTGTATGAAAAAATAACAACATTTAGGTAAATAAATGTAATATATATTT